AAAAAAAACAACAACAAAACATTATAAAATGATGCTAAAGCATTTACAGCTCTCACTCTGTATCTATGTACGTATGTATGTCTGTTTGTTTATATTATAAGATTGTCTGCCGTTTTGTCTGTCTGTCATTCTGTTGTTGTGTCTATGTGTTTTTTTCTGATTTAAGCCAAGTGTATAAGCAAACAATACCAAAATGAAAATGAGAAAAAAAAATTGTGAAAAAATACAAAAAACGTCAAGATCGATCATATATGCTTGTCTTACCAAGTCAAGTCAATGCGTTTTGCTATAAATATGTGTTTGAATGCTTTAGACTTTATACGCAACGAATCAAAAAAATGCTAAAATGTATGAATACCCTACAGTTGAATCGAAAATCTCTTAAAAACTTTTTAATGGAACAAGCTTTTAGGAGATTTATAATTAAGCAACATTTCGAAGCTTTTGAAGAAAACAAATTTAGAAGCTTTTGAATGAAACAAGCTTTTATAAGCTTTTTAATTAAGAAAGCATTTAAAGATTTTTAGTAAAGAAGCTTTTTAGCAGCTTTTTAATCAAAAACTTTAAAATTTGTCTTTGAATAAGCTATTTGAAGTGTTAAGAAAGCATTTAAATATTTTTAATAAAGAAACTATTAAAAGCTTTTGAATAAAAAAAAAAAAAAACTATTTCAATCATTATAAGCAAGAAAGCTTTCTAGAAGCTTTTTAATCATAGCCTTTAATATTTGTCTTTGAAGAAGCTATTTGAAATATTTCAATCAATCAAAAAAGCTTCTAGAAGCTTATTAAAAACAGAAGTTATTAGAAGGCTTTTAATAAAAAATTCTCTTTAAAGCTTTTTAATAAAAAACTTTGAAAAAAGTTTTTTATTTAAAGAAGCTTTTTAAATAAAAACAGTTTTAGAAGCTTTTTAATCTAAAAATTGTTAGAAGCTTTTTAATTGGAAAAGCTGTTAAATGATTTTTTTATCAAAAAAGCTTTTAAAATATTTATATTTCAAAATACTTTTGAAAGTTTTTAAAGCACTAAAACTTTTGGGAGTTTTTTATCAAAAATATTTATGCTTTTAAGCTTTACAGCTTTTTAATAAAACAGCTTTTATAAGCTTTTTTAAGCTTTTTAATCCAAAAAGGTTTTAAGAACCTTTTAATCAAAAAATATTGTTCGAACCTTTTTCATTGGAAAAGCTTTTAGATGATTTTTATCAAAAAAGATTTTAATTCCAAAGCAAAAAAACTTTTGGAAGTTCTTTTTATCAAGAAAACATTTAGGCTCTAAAAAAAGCTTTAAAGCTTTTTAATAAAAAACTTTTAGAAGTTTTTTATTCAAAGAAGCTTTTTTAATCAAAAAAGGTTTTAGAAGTTTTTTTTAATCAAAAAAGGTTTTAGAAGTTTTTTAGTTAAAAAACTGTGGAAAGATTTTTCATCAGAAAAGCTTTTAGATTAATTTTATCAAAAAAGTTTCTAAAAGCTTTTGATTCCAAAGCACAAATACTTTTAGGAGTTTTTTTATCAAGAACATTTATGCTTTTAAAAAAAGGGCTTTAAAGTCTTTTAATAAAAAAAGCTTTTAGAAAGCTTTTTTTTTAAAGTTTTTTATTTAAAAAAGCTTTTTAATCAGAAAAACAAACTGTTAAAGCCTTTTTTTTCGTAAAAGCTTTTATATGAATTTTATCAAAAAAGCTTTTAAAAGCTTTTTATTCCAAAAAAGCTTTTCGATGGCTTTTTTATAAAGTTTTTTATTTAAAAAATATTTTCAAAAAAAAGTTTTAAGAAGCTTTTTAATTAGAAAAACAAACTGTTAAAACCTTTTACTTCGAAAAAGCTTTTATATGAATTTTATCAAAAAAGCTTTTAAAACTTTAACGTACAAAAAATTCGTTTAATATTGAAACATTATAAAATTTTGCTTGCAGTTTAAAGTGCGTAGACTTTAAATCTAAGAGAATATACAAATGTACGAGTATGAGTAAGTGTAAGTGTGTGTATGTATTTGTTTTAAGTTCACAATTTTGATCATCTCAAGTTTGTAGCTTAAATCTTTTGTTTGTCGACAAAAACTAACAACTACAACCATTACAAACATGTAGAGATTGCATGGGAGGCGCAGGAGTTTGTGTTTTTTATTGCGTTTTTTTTTTTCTATAAGTTTTTTTTAACGTTTTCTTCTAAAAATGGTAAACAACAACGACCTTCTATTTTAGGCCACTAAGGAATTGCATTAATGTTTTATTTTTTTATTTTACGATTATTTTTTTTTTTCGAAAGCCTGTATTTGTCATATTGTGGCAAGTAGACATTGAGCTTTTTTTATACAGGTGAATTTTTTTAAGTAGAATTTAATATTAAATGATTTTTTTCGTTTATTTGAGTTTTAATGCCATTGAAAATGTTGAACGTTTTAGACAGATTGCCAGTTTTGTCATAAAACGAATTAGAGTTTTTTTTTTTTTTTTTTAATTGAAAATTTTGTTAGGAATTTTAAGGTTTTAAAAGAGGGAGAGATATGAGCAATTGAGTTTAATGTTTTAAGACAATAGCAAAACGAAATTATGATGCCTTGAAAGGTAATAAGAAAATGTTAAATTTTTAGTTAGAAATTTTGATTAGCTTTTACACCACAATAAAAGAGCTTTTTGACTTTTTAAAGATTTTTTTATATTACAATTTTGGAATTTAGTAATCTTTAGCTCTAGCTGTTTTGTTAGCTAAAAACTACAGACCTTGCAAAGAAGTTTGTCAAAAACATTTGTTTGTTATACAAAAAATTATCAAATTTTTAAAAATAAATTTAAAAAATTATAATTTTTTCAAAAACATTAAAATTGTTTAAGGTCATTAAAAAAGTTTTTTTTTATTGCAAAATCACTTGAAAAAAATACGTATTTAACTTGACAACTAAGCTTTTGTTAATTATTTTTCATAAAAAAAATCTTTAATGAAATTAAAACTTGCTGTGGCTATGTGTTTCATTACGTTTTGCAAATTAATTTTTTTTAATAACTTTATTAAATTAGCCATTACTTGGTATAATTTTTTTCATTTATTTCATTAACACAATGACATTTTTTATTGTTTTTTCTTTTTTTTTTTTGTATTTAAATAAATTTTTTATTATTCATTCATTCATAATGCGGTGTATTTGTTTTAAATGAAAGTAAAACAAAAATTGTTTGTTTAAACAATTCATGCTTTCTTTCATATTTAACATACAGAAAATTTTGTTAATTCAAGTTGTTTTTTGTCGTTTTTTTTTCACTTTAAAGAAAAAAGTGCTGAAATGTGGATTTAAAAATTGTAACCTAAATGGCGCCGCGGCCGTCTTTTGACTAAGCAGATCTATTTGTAAGCTACATTTTGAACATATAGTTTAAGTAACAAAATATGTTATGAAGATTTTTGTCAAATTAATAGAAAAGTTAATGAAAAGAAGCATAATTGCTTGTTTTGTGTGTTTTAGGCATTTGATTTGAGTATAACCCAGCAAATGTTTTTGATACTAATTTGAATTTGAATGAAGAAAACTATTGATCAAATCTTTGGCTTTAATACATCCGGCCAAATTTAGCTTTTAAACAATCCATTTAAAACTTTATATAAAGAATGTACCACTAATATTACAACTGATACCTTGCTAGATTACCTGGGATGTATTAAGTAACCAGTTGATTTAATTTCTATTTAAAAATGTCATACAGAATGAAATTATATAATTGCTTTAAGTAAAATGTAAGAAAAATGTTTGCTTTAGCATCTAGGGACTCCTAAAGATAAACTGACCCCAGCCAAGACTACTCAGGGTTTAAAAAGTGATCAATTCAATTTGCTTAGCACACTGAGAGACAAATTTGCCCAAATAGAAGAAAATTATAGAAAATATAGAAGTGAAAACTTCATTTCGGAAAACTTTGACACATTTAAAAACAACTGACTCTTTTTTACATTACCTGGGTGGTACGAAGTAGCTAGTAGACTTCATTAAGTATCCTACACATTCAAATAACTTTTTTCTTAAGTAAAGTGTAAAAGAATAGTTTAAGTAATATTCAAAACTAATTGCTTTTAAGATTTAGAGATTCTTAAAAAGCAACTGACTACTCTTTACATTACTTAGGTGATGTAAAATGTTTAATTGATTTAAATTTTAATTTTTTAAAAAAGTACTGGTTAAATTTAGTGCAAAAATAAACAAAATATTAAAGTTTTAACTTTACACTGATTAAGTTAAGGTCTTAGCAAGGCTAACTGACTACTCTCTAGATAACCAGGGTGGTTTAAAGTAATCAATTGACTTTTAATTAAGTTTTGCAAACAAAATATCAACAATTGTTTAGTAAAGAACATTTATAACTTTGAATTTTAACTCTAGATTACCTAAAAACACTTCAAAGCTTACTGACCACTCGGCAGATTACCAAGGATGTATATAGTAAACAATTGAAAACAAATTGCTTTATAAAAGGCATTAAGATGATATATTGTTAAGAAATATCGAAAATATTGAAGTTTAAGCATTATTCTACATTATTTAGAAATACTTAAAACACAACTAACTACACCTTAGATTACTAGGATTAAATAGAGTAAACAATGCACTAATATTTGTTTAAAAACAATTAAGTTTCCAACTGTGAAAAATATTGAAGATTAAACACGTTTTCAGATGATTAGGGGACACTCAAAAGACAACAAGCTTCTACTTACATTACCAGGGATCTGTAATGTAGCCAATCGACTTGAATTTATTTTACATAAAACTCTTAAGTAAAACATGAAGCAGAAATATAAAAACTAAATAAATTTTAAAATTAATGAATTTTAGAGACAATTCTGCCTTAAACTGTCTACTAACTAGATTACCTGGGCGGCATAAGGTAAGCAAACGACTAAATTTTGCTTTAAATGGATACCTAAGTAAAGAAATTTTTAAAAATTATCCTTTTTAACGGTCAAAAGGGGGTCAATGAGGGTTAATTACAAGAATAGCTTAACTACTTACCGTTTTATTACTAAGTGCTGCTCATTTTTTTTTCTAGATTTTAGTAACTGCAAAGAGAAAAGAAAACATAAATAGAAAATTATTAATTGTTATAAAATTTATTATATAAAATTTAAATGAATTTTATTGCAAATCTTTTATCTATTTTACTAGAATTTCATGCACTTATTGCCTCGCCTCGCCCCCCTCCTTCTCTCTGGTGGCAAGCATAGAAAATCGTTTAATGCAACACCTTTAATGTACAAGTTGCATGTGTGTAAAAATGACATACGTCATGTTGAGTCTACAAAATGCTTCTTTTTTGTCTGTTTGCCTATCTATGCTGGCTGGATGGCTCTCTCTCTCGGCTCAGTAAAGTTTACAAAAAATAAATACAAATGAAATTGTTATGGAAAAAAACAGGAGTAAACAGAGGTTTAAAGTAATGGAAAGTTTAGTTCCAATAGTGAAGATTCTGATACTTTCCATTCATTAAGGATATTAAGGGAAGAGAATGTTTCTGTTGCTCTATAGCGTTAAGATAGAGTGCGGTACGTACAGGGCTTTGAGAGTTCACAGAGTTGAAGAAATCTCTCTTAGAATATTTTTCTATTTTGCTTATTATAAACATTTGATACTTTTAACAACCTGCCCTAGTTTTGTAGTATTATAATGACGATCATATGCTTTCAGTTCAAACTATATACATTATGTTTTTGTTGCCTCTTTTTTTTGCAACTTGTTGCTTGAACTATTGTGGTCATCTGTTGATGGTGTGGTATTGGTTAGTTGGTGGATATACTTGATAGTTAAAGCTGTTGTTGTACTCTTTTTTATGCCTGATGACATGCGCTTTAAGCCTTTTGATGCCATGACAGTTGCATTCATATAACCCACAAAAAAACACACACAAAAAAGAACAAACCATAAGCCAGAAACTAAACAAAACTAAAAGAAAAGAAGAAAAAAACATCATGTAGCATAGTGTCATACTTAAGTTGCCACAACCAAAACGACAAAAATACAAGAAGAAACAAAAAAATAACAGCACTGAAACCTACAACAAATAACAAACATTTGACTTGATGCGATTATATGCACGCACATCCCAGCCAAGACAAGTCAAGTATGTTGCAGAGAAAAAACTCTACTTTTTTTTACCTCCTCATACAATAATAATGAAAATAATAAAGAAAACCCCAAAAGAAGACGAATCTGCTTATCTACGGTGATCCATCATTGGTCCAAAGAAAGGAGAAGACAATCTTAAAAAAAAACACACACACAAACAGAAAATTTTTGCATATTGTAAAATTTATAGGCCACAGGTGATTTTGTGGTCTTATACAGGCCTCTCTGCGCACAACAAACAAAAAATTTTAATATGCGGGCGTTAAGTTTTAAAAATATGCTAAAATATGTCAGAACCTTTTTAAAAACCATAAAACAACAAGTGTCACCTTTAGTTTGCAGCAAAAAAAAAAAAGATTTTAAAGTAACCACAAAGGAACCAGAAAAACCAGTGAATCAAAAAACACAAATACATTCCTTGGTTTTGTTTTGTTTCATGTTCCTGGTTGTTTGATATTGATTACGCTCCCACGGTTTTTGTATGTTGCAAATACAAAGAATTGTAAAATTTTAGTCAGGCATAAAAAAACAGGAAATTTTTATTTCTTTTAAAGCAACCACAACTCGTAAAACTACCTATAAACACCCTCATTTAGGAAATTTACACCAGGGAATTAAAAATAAAAGTTTAAAAAGTGAATTTAAGAAATTCAAAAGAATTTTAATGACAATTATTTAAATGTTTTAAAAAAGCGATGTTCAAATATAACAACAAAAGCTTTTTACTTTTTATTACAAAAAGCTTTTGCATTCATATTTGTAAAGCTTAAAGTCTTAGCTAATTTAAATTTTATTTAATATTTCTAGAAAATTACAAAATTGTTAGATTTTTTACAAATTTTCCAAATTACTTTATAATTAAAAACACTCATACGCTCTAGGGTTTAATAATTTTTGAAATAATTTTTTTTAGCAACTAATTAAAAATTTTCTTTTGTTTTCTTTTAAAACAATGAAAAAACATACAAATTTTATTTAAAAGCTTTTTTAATGCTTTTTGTACTACTTTTTTTATAATAATATCTTAAGGATTAAAACACATTTCTTAAAGTTTTAACTTATCTAAGTTTAAAGTATTCCAGTTTCTTTGTTTTTGATACTAAAAGCTTTAATGTTGTAAATTTGGAAAGCTTAAAGAGTTGTTTAATTTTGAATTTTATTAAACTTTGAATGCGATTTCAATATTACAAAAGTTTTGCATATATTTCAAAATTTACTTTTCACTAAAAATAATCATACGCTCTAGGGCCCTAAATTGTTTGAAATTAAATTTCATGCAATTTGCAAGGATTTGAGGTTGTTTTTTTTTATTAAAAGCTACAAAAGCACAAAAATAGGGCAATTTTAAAGTTTTTTAGGAAATTTTATTTAAAAATTTATAATTAAAGGAATATACTTTTTGAACTTGTCTCAATTATAGCTTTTTTATACAAGCTTTGAAAAACTTTCGTGTTACAGATTTTGAAAGCTTAAGGATTTAAATAATTTTGATTTTTCTTAAACTTAGAAATTGTTAAGAAAAACATAATTTTTTCCCTAAATTTTAAGATAAATTTTAAAATTTTAATAAACATACGCTCTAGGGTTTAAAAAGTCCAAAAGTTGTTTAAAAATTGTTATAAAATATATGTTATTTTTAATAACTATAAGAAAACAAAATGAAATTTGTACATACAGCTTTTTAAAAGCTTTTGTTTATTCTCTTTTAAAGCAAACTTTCTATAACTAAAAAAAATATTTTGTGCAATTATTTAATTTTTAAACTTCTGCGAATTATAGCTTTTTTAGTTTTACAACTAAAAGCTTTTATGTTACAAATTTGGAAAGCTTATGGTGTTGTTTAATTTTGATTTTTATTAGAATTTTAATTAGATTTCAAATATAGGCAATTTTTAAAAAATTTCAATATTATCTACAATTAAATAATAATCATACGCTCTAGGGTTTGAAAAAAGTTTTTTATAAAATTTCTTTATAATTAATAGAAAATCTTTTACTTTCCTTTCAGCATCTAAAGCACATTAATCAAAACTTTATAATTAGTATTAAATTTTGTATAAAATTTGAAATTTTATTTAAAAAAATTTTAAAATTTAAAAAAAAAATATAGTTTATTTTTTCTTTTTTATTTAAATAGTTTAAATATTTTTGGTAAATATTAACTACTTAGTCAGTTATTTAAAACATTATTAACTATAACATAAATATTGCCTACTTTTTGGCCTTAATTTACCGGCAACATTGTTGTAGGCTGGTTTTTCATTTTAAATTGACTTTGTTAATGAAAACATTTTTATTTAAAAATAAAATTATATATAAAGAAAATATATGTATTTTATTATTAAATAATTTTATTTTATGAATTTAATTGAATTAAATTTCATAAGCTTTACACACTCACCCAAACAAAAATACAGAAAACACAGCTAAATTTATATGAACGATAACAATTTTAAAGTCAAATTAAATTGAAAACAAAAAGTGTTGAAAGTATAATTTTTTAGCCATACGAAAATTGTATATTGTAATACGAACAAAAAAAAAAAACAAGCCTCCAAAGTGCACTTTGGTTGCTACTGATTGCTGCTGCTGTTATAGCAGTAACAGCAGCAAGAAAAAAAAACGCGACAGACCATATAATGATTGTAATTACATGTACCGTAGCTGTGTAGTTAAGTTAACTTGGCTTTAATGTAACATTGAATTTTTCCATTTTTTTTTCTTCTTTTGCTTATTTTTTGTACGCTTTTTGAAGGAGGGGGAATTTACTGCTTTTTTTGTAACTTTAGCTTTATTTTCTTAATATATATATATTTTTTTTACTTTACATTGTAACATTGCTACCATTTTAATGCTATTTTTGTGGCAAATAAGCATTAGATTTATGGCTTAAGTTTTAAACTCAAACATGTACACAAAAATCATCTACGCTGGCACATGCAAGTATGTAGTAAGTTTAAGTTAAGAGGTGTGTAAGTGTAAGTGTAGTCATAAAAAACATAGCAGAAGACGTAAGCACGCTTGCGCACATGCCATTATTATGTTATCTATTTTCAGTTGTTTTGTTTTTTTTCTTAGTGTCTTCTGCCTTTTAAGAGACAACAAAAAATGCAATCAAACTACTTAGAAAACTACAAAATGCATACAAACTCTTGACTCTAAAACTACCTCCCTCCTGCTCTTTATTAAATGGATTTAAACAATAAATATACTTATACACGAAAAAATGTATATATTTCATTTTTTTTTCAGTTAAGTTTTTTTTTCTACTATTTAGCACGCGCTGCTAATTCTTGTTTACAAAACACCATTTAAACCATGGCATCTATCCATCCATCTAATATGAAAAACTAAAGAATGAAAACAACAATAATAACAATAAAATGTTGGCTAAAAAGTAAAGCAGCTAAACAAGCAACCAACTGAATCATTATTAAGACAATCAAAAACACCATTTCCAAAAGAAAGAAACTGAATAAAAATTTTCATATTAAAGCAAAGATAGCAAGAAATTTGAGATCTTTCAATTACAAAAAAAAAAATTAAAGCTTTTTACAAAAAAGCTTAAGCTCTAAACGAGCAACTGTTCTCAATAGCCTAAACTGTTAACTAATTTTGATTTTTAACAGATTTTCATTATACTAAGAAATAACAAAGATTTTTTAAAAATTATAAAAATTTACAAAAATTAATATAACTCATACGCTCTAGGTGAAGAAAATTTAAAATTTTTAAAATTTTCAAAATTTCAGAAAATAATAAAAAAAAAATGTTTAATGTTTTATCAATAAATTCTCAATTTCTAATTTCAATACAAACAAGAAACAACCAAAATAAAAATTTTAAATTTCTTTTCACCACAGTGTTTAATATTTTATTGTTGAACAAATTCTTGTTGATATACTATATGAAGTGTTAAGACAGCAGCAGCAGCACGTA